TAGATGTATGTGGCAGGTGTAGGTGTACGGGGCAGGTGTAGGGGAAGGTGTATGTGGAAGGTGGAAGTAAGTGTACGGGGCGGGTGTAGGGGAAGGTGTTTATGACAGGTATAGGTGTACGGGGCAGGTGTAGGGGGAAGGTGTAAGTAAGTGTACGGGGCGGGTGTAGGGGAAGGTGTATGTGGAAGGTGGAAGGTGGAAGTAGGTGTACGGGGCGGGTGTAGGGGAAGTTGTTTATGACAGGTGTAGGTGTACGGGGCAGGTGTATGTGGAAGGTGTAGGTGAATGTGGCAGGTGTAGGGGAAGGTGTATGTGGCAGGTGTAGGTGTACGGGGCAGGTGTAGGGGAAGGCGTATGAGGAAGGTGTAGGTGTACGGGGCAGATGTAGGGGAAGGCGAATGAGGAAGGTGTGGGGGAAGGCGTAGGTGTACCGGGCAGGTCTAGGGGAATGGGTATGTGGCAGGTGTAGGTGTACCGGGCAGGTCTAGGGGAATGTGTATGTGGCAGGTGTAGGTGTACCGGGCAGGTCTAGGGGAATGTGTATGTGGCAGGTGTATGTGTACCGGGCAGGTCTAGGGGAATGTGTATGTGGCAGGTGTAGGTGTACCGGGCAGGTCTAGGGGAATGTGTTAGTGTCCCATATAGTGTTTAGATACGCTGTTAGCGTCCCATATAGTGTTGTGTATACGCTGTGTTAGTGTCCCATATAGTGTTGTGTATACGCTGTGTTAGTGTCCAGTTTTGTGTTGTGTATACGCTGTGTTAGTGTCCCATATGGTGTTGTGTATACGCTGTTAGTGTCCCATATGGTGTTGTGTATACGCTGTGTTAGTGTCCTATATAGTGTTGTGTATACGCTGTGTAAGTGTCCCATATAGTGTTGTGTATACACTGTGTTAGTGTCCCATAAAGTGTTGTGTATACGCAGTGTTAGTGTCCTGTATAGTGTTGTGTATACACTGTGTTAGTGTCCCATATAGTGTTGTGTATACGCTGTGTTAGTGTCCCATATAGTGTTGTGTATACGCAGTGTTAGTGTCCCATATAGTGTTGTGTATACGCTGTGTTAGTGTCCCATATAGTGTTGTGTATACGCAGTGTTAGTGTCCCATATAGTGTTGTGTATACGCAGTGTTAGTGTCCCATATAGTGTTGTGTATACGCTGTGTTAGTGTCCCATATAGTGTTGTGTACCGGGCAGGAGTTTGGAAATGTGTATGTGGAAGGTGGAAGGTGTAAGTAAGTGTACGGGGCGGGTGTAGGGGAAGGTGTATATGGCAGGTGTAGATGTATGTGGCAGGTGCAGGTGTACGGGGCAGGTGTAGGGGGAAGGTGTATGTGGAAGGTGGAAGGTGGAAGTAAGTGTACGGGGCGGGTGTAGGGGAAGGTGTTTATGACAGGTGTAGGGGAAGGTGAATGTGGCAGGTGTAGGTGTACGGAGCAGGTGTAGGGGGAAGGTGTATGTGGAAGGTGAAAGGTGAATGTGGCTGGTGTAGGGGAAGGCGTATGAGGAAGGTGTAGGGGAAGGTGTATGTGGAAGGTGTAGGGGAAGGTGTAGGGGTAGGTGTATGTGGAAGGTGGAAGTAAGTGAACGGGGCGGGTGTAGGGGGAAGGTGTATGTGGAAGGTGGAAGGTGAATGTGGCTGGTGTAGGGGAAGGCGTATGAGGAAGGTGTAGGGGAAGGTGTATGTGGAAGGTGTAGGGGAAGGTGTATGTGGAAGGTGTAGGGGAAGGTGAATGTGGCTGGTGTAGGGGAAGGTGTATGTGGAAGGTGTAGGGGGAAGGTGTATGTGGAAGTTGGAACGTGAATGTGGCTGGTGTAGGGGAAGGCGTATGAGGAAGGTGTAGGGGAAGGTGTATGTGGAAGGTGTACGGGGTAGGTGTAGGGGGAAGGTGTATGTGGAAGGTGGAAGGTGAATGTGGCTGGTGTAGGGGAAGGCGTATGAGGAAGGTGTAGGGGAAGGTGTATGTGGAAGGTGTAGGGGAAGGTGTATGTGGAAGGTGGAAGTAAGTGTACGGGGCAGGTGTAGGGAAGGTGTTTATGACAGGTGTAGGGGAAGGTGTATGTGGAAGGTGTAGGGGAAGGTGTATGTGGAAGGTGGAAGTAAGTGTACGGGGCGGGTGTAGGGGAAGGTGTTTATGACAGGTGTAGGGGAAGGTGTTTATGACAGGTGTAGGGGAAGGTGTATTTGGAAGGTGTAGGGGAAGGTGTATGTGGAAGGTGTAGGGGAAGGTGTATGTGGAAGGGGTAGGGGAAGGTGTATGTGGAAGGTGAATGTGGAAGGTGTAGGGGAAGGTGAATGTGGAAGGTGTAGGGGAAGGTGTATGTGGAAGGTGTAGGGGAAGGTGTATGTGGAAGGTGTAGGGGAAGGTGTATGTGGAAGGTGGAAGTAAGTGTACGGGGCGGGTGTAGGGAAAGGTGTTTATGACAGGTGTAGGGGAAGGCGTATGAGGAAGGTGTGGGGAAAGGCGTATGTGTACCGGGCAGGTCTAGGGGAATGTGTATGTTTGAGATGAATCTTGTACTTGTTCCTAAAACATCATAGGTATTTATTTAAACTAATCCCAAGCTCTTTAATTAGTGGACTAATCCATTTTGACCAAAGGGTATATGCCTATTGTTGTTTTAACTAATACCTCATTTGCTGTATAACTATTGGGAGTATGACAAATGGGCGTATGACTAATGGGATATGACCGTATGTGGCAGGTGTAGGTGTACCGGGCAGGTCTAGGGGAATGTGTATGTGGAAGGCGTATGTGTACTGGGCAGGTCTAGGGGAATGTGTATGTGGCAGGTGTAGGTGTACCGGGCAGGTCTAGGGGAATGTGTATGTGGCAGGTGTAGGTGTACCGGGCAGGTCTAGGGGAATGTGTATGTGGCAGGTGTATGTGTACCGGGCAGGTCTAGGGGAATGTGTATGTGGCAGGTGTATGTGTACCGGGCAGGTCTAGGGGAATGTGTATGTGGCAGGTGTAGGTGTACCGGGCAGGTCTAGGGGAATGTGTATGTGGCAGGCGTATGTGTACCGGGCAGGTCTAGGGGAATGTGTATGTGGAAGGCGTATGTGTACCGGGCAGGTCTAGGGGAATGTGTATGTGGCAGGTGTATGTGTACCGGGCAGGTCTAGGGGAATGTGTATGTGGCAGGTATAGGTGTACCGGGCAGGTCTTGGGGAATGTGTATGTGGCAGGTATAGGTGTACCGGGCAGGTCTAGGGGAATGTGTATGTGGAAGGCGTATGTGTACCGGGCAGGTCTAGGGGAATGTGTAAGTGGCAGGTGTAGGTGTACCGGGCAGGTCTAGGGGAATGTGTATGTGGCAGGTGTATGTGTACCGGGTAGGTCTAGGGGAATGTGTATGTGGCAGGCGTACGTGTACCGGGCAGGTCTAGGGGAAGGTGTGGGGGAAGGCTAATGTGTACCGGGCAGGTCTAGGGGAAGGTGTATGTGGCAGGTGTATGTGTACCGGGCAGGTCTAGGGGAATGTGTATGTGGCAGGTGTATGTGTACCGGGCAGGTCTAGGGGAATGTGTATGTGGCAGGTGTATGTGTACCGGGCAGGTCTAGGGGAATGTGTAGTTGGAAATTGTGGTGGAAGATGCAGGTGTACGAGGAAGGTGCTCCAGCGTCCCGCCAGTGTAGGCGGGGGCCTTCAGCTGATCTAACAGATATCGGCTATATCTCTCTTATCCATGCCGTACCGGAAGCTGAACAAGCCGTAAAGAGACACGGAAGCAAGTTTAACCACATATGTCGGAAACTGCGGTTTCCAACTTAGCAAAAAATCCGGAAGTTGTGGTTTAAATATTGTCGGTTTGAAAATAAGAGTGGAAGATTTCAAAGACAACTCGTACGCTACACGCGATAACCCCACCCTTATCTTGTCCCCCGCTCGTGATAAAGGATGTCAGCTCAGCAAGACATTAACAGGTGCTTCCGAACACTCTCCCCCTCCTCCTTCTCCCACCCCTACATGATCATGAAAACATCACACATCCAGGGAGCTATTATTGTTGTGTGCATTTGATAAGTCAATGTCTATAATTAGGCAATATGTATATTGACTGATTCACTAAGGCAATGTACATATTAACTGAATTTTTCAGTACGCATATTGCCTCATTTTAATTTTGATATATTGTGATCTTACGATTATCGATGTGACTTTTCTGAGTATGTAGTTTAAACAATATATTGGAAGCAATCTGATGCCATCTTCCCGAGGCAATGGAGAATACTGATTATAAAAGTCGAGTTTCCACCCTTGACGAACGAGGCTGAAATTTCGTGGTTCAATCGTAGCGCCATCAGTTGCTATTACGAGTTATTGAGTTGGATCTCATCAACAGATTCAAATTAAAATGAGGAGATTAACTTAAAGTGTATAACTCATGTCAGTCAATCTGTATAAGATCCATTCTCGTTTTTCAGCGGTATGTATATTGAAGGAACATTTCAAGCAATGTGTATATTGACTGAACATTTCAGGCGAGTAAGTAGTATTCAGCATTCATGGGTAAGAAAATATGACGGAGTCTAAAAAAAGATTGTATTCGGGATTCAGGGAATGGGTTGGCACCCTCACACACACACAAACACACGCCCGCACGCGCGCGTGGTGAGTGTCACGCTCTATCGTGTGGCTGGTGACAAGTCTCACGTACTATATGTGGCACGTGTCACGTACTTTCCACTGCAGTTGTACCAAGTGACAACACTCATTAATATGCCGCGGGGATTCGAAAACCAATTCCTTAGCACCCGTGCTGTCCCGAGCTCCATTAATCGACCAGTCCCTCGACATGGCTGTCTACTATGCCAGACAACCCCCCCCCCCCTCCCCCCCCCGCAACATCTCCCTTTCCCCCCCCCCCCCCCCCCCCCCCCCCCGCAACATCTCCCTTTCCCCCCCCCCCCCCCCCCCCGCGGCGTCTTCAGACGTTGCCGACACGACGATCTGGACATATCGATCTGATGTTGACGCCGTCTTTGTGTTGACCGCGAGTCCTGTCATGATGAGAGGTGGATGATTTGGCGGCCGAAGCGCGGACCGAGGGCCGGACAGTTGGACAGACAGACGGACGGACATAGGCACGTGAGTACACCGGCCGCCTTGGTATGTATACATGTGTATGCTTGTGTATCTGTGTATATGGTCGCTTACGTTGTGGATGTACGTCGTGTCCGCTGTAATGTGAAGGCCAGGGGAAACCTGTTCACAGACAGATGCAGGGACAGAGGGTCGACCACTGCTCAGTTACTCCGCACCCTGACAGCCATCTCTACCTGACACACACACGCGCACTCACGCACGCAGACACACACACATACACACACATGCTCAATTGTTTGGTTATAGAGAAGGAGTCATTGTCTAGATTCAGATAAAACGAAATGTTTGAATAGGTCAACCCCTTCGCCGATGGAAGCCATTACATCCCTGATGACGTACATCGCTGAAATTCACTCCTGGGTATCTGTTTTACAACTGGCACAGCAAAGTGAAAGACCCCATGTCCATGCGTCCACGCAACCACCGGATACCCGTTCTACAACTGATACAGCAAAGTGAAAGACCCAATGTCCATGCGTCCACGCAACCACCGGATACCCGTTCTACAACTGATACAGCAAAGTGAAAGACCCCATGTCCATGCGTCCACGCAACAAATATTGATACCCGTTCTACAACTGATACAGCAAAGTGAAAGATCCCATGTCCATGCGTCCACGCAACCACCGGATACCCGTTCTACAACTGATACAGCAAAGTGAAAGACCCCATGCGTCCACGCAACCACCGGATACCCGTTCTACAACTGATACAGCAAAGTGAAAGATCCCATGTCCATGCGTCCACGCAACAAATATTGATACCCGTTCTACAACTGATACAGCAAAGTGAAAGATCCCATGTCCATGCGTCGACGCAACAAATATTGATACCCGTTCTACAACTGATACAGCAAAGTGAAAGATCCCATGTCCATGCGTCCACGCAACCACCGGATACCCGTTCCACAACTGATACAGCAAAGTGAAAGACCCCATGTCCATGCGTCCACGCAACCACCGGATACCCGTTCTACAACTGATACAGCAAAGTGAAAGATCCCATGTCCATGCGTCCACGCAACAAATATTGATACCCGTTCTACAACTGATACAGCAAAGTGAAAGATCCCATGTCCATGCGTCGACGCAACCACCGGATACCCGTTCTACAACTGATACAGCAGAGTGAAAGACCCCATGTCCATGCGTCCACGCAACCACTGGATACCCGTTCTACAACTGATACAGCAAAGTGAAAGATCCCATGTCCATGCGTCCACGCAACAAATATTGATACCCGTTCTACAACTGATACAGCAAAGTGAAAGATCCCATGCCCATGCGTCCACGCAACAAATATTGATACCCGTTCTACAACTGATACAGCAAAGTGAAAGATCCCATGTCCATGCGTCCACGCAACAAATATTGATACCCGTTCTACAACTGATACAGCAAAGTGAAAGATCCCATGTCCATGCGTCCACGCAACCACCGGATACCCGTTCTACAACTGATACAGCAAAGTGAAAGACCCCATGTCCATGCGTCCACGCAACCACCGGATACCCGTTCTACAACTGATACAGCAAAGTGAAAGATCCCATGTCCATGCGTCCACGCAACAAATATTGATACCCGTTCTACAACTGATACAGCAAAGTGAAAGATCCCATGTCCATGCGTCGACGCAACAAATATTGATACCCGTTCTACAACTGGCGCAGTTAAGTGAAAGATCCCATGTCCTTGCCTCCACGCAACCACCGGATACCCGTTCTACAACTGGCACAGGAAAGTGAAAGACCCCATGTCCATGCGTCCACGCAACCACCGGATACCCGTTCTACATCTAGCATAGGAAAATCAAACACTCTTTATCTTATCTCTATGTCAGAATGATGAGATCTGAGTGGTTCACGGGATCTTGATAAAATACGATGAACTCGCCTAGGAGGGAATAAATCCTGAGCGGGAGAATAAATCCCTTATACCCCGCCACGAAGAACACTAGCTGCACGTGAATTTCTGACTGGGAGAATAAATCCCTTATACCCCGCTTCGAAGCAAAAAGCCTCACGCCTCACGTGAAAAGCACGCGACATAGCACAACCTAACCTCAGCTGAATCGGACAGCTGTTTTCAATCAATTTTGAATTTGTTTTAATTCTTTCACAATGGCAGATAAAAACATGTCGGTAAGATCCGTTCGTTGTTGCAGTATCACTCGGTTTCCGGCTCATGGTATAAAAGCTAACCGCGATAATAATATGCATCAAAGCAACCACGGGATAGCCGTTCTGCAACTGGCTCACTCGGGTGCATGGGCCAAACGCACCTCGAAACAAGCAACAGCCACATATCGTTCAGATGGAAATAGTCGTCAGAGAGAATCTGCCCTGCTGCGTGATCAGGCGTGGCTAAGTGTCGCCAAACGGGGACTGTGCTGACAATTACAACTAACAAGACGCCTCCTGTCGTCAGCCCAACGCAGTGTCGCACGTCTAGCGTAATAGTGCAATCTCGCCAGTCACTGGGTGTGAGATGAGTGTCTATCCCTGCTGTGTCTCCACAGCAAAACACAGTCCAAACACATACGTATCAAACGTATCACTTTCTATATGTCTAGTTATCACCTTCTGTATGTATATTTATCACCTACTTTATCTGTATAGCTATCACCTTCTATATGTAGAGTTATCACCTATTTGTATATATATCACCATCTGTATGTATAGTTATCACCTTCTGTATGTATAGTTATCACCTTCTATATGCATAGTTATCATCTATCTGTATAGTTATCACCTTCTGTATGTATAGTTATCACCTTCTATATGCATAGTTATCATCATTCTGTATAGTTATCACCTTCTGTATGAATAGTTATCACCTTCTGTATGTATAGTTATCACCTTCTGTATGTAGTTATCACCTATTTGTATAGATATCACCTTCTGTCTATATAGTTATCATTTCTATATGTGTAGCTATCACCTTCTGTATGTATAGTTATCACCTTCTATATGTATGGTTATCACCTTCTATATGTATAGTTATCACCTTCTATATGTATAGCTATCACCTTCTATATGTATAGTTATCACCTTCTATATGTATAGTTATCACCTTCTATATGTATAGCTATCACCTTCTGTATGTATAGTTATCACCTTCTATATGTATAGTTATCACCTTCTATATGTATAGTTATCACCTTCTATATGTATAGCTATCACCTTCTGTATGTATAGTTATCACCTTCTATATGTATAGCTATCACCTTCTGTATGTATAGTTATCACCTTCTATATGTATAGTTATCACCTTCTATATGTATAGCTATCACCTTCTGTATGTATAGTTATCACCTTCTATATGTATAGCTATCACCTTCTATATGTATAGCTATCACCTTCTGTATGTATAGTTATCACCTTCTATATGTATAGCTATCACCTTCTGTATGTATAGTTATCACCTTCTATATGTATAGTTATCACCTTCTATATGTATAGCTATCACCTTCTGTATGTATAGTTATCACCTTCTATATGCATAGTTATCACCTTCTGTATGTATAGTTATCACCTTCTATATGTATAGTTATCACCTTCTATATGTATAGTTATCACCTTCTATATGTATAGTTATCACCTTCTATATGTATAGTTATCACCTTCTATTTGTATAGTTATCACCTTCTATGTGTATAGTTATCACCTTCTATATGTATAGTTATCACCTTCTATATGTATAGTTATCACCTTCTATATGTATAGTTATCACCTTCTATATGTATAGTTATCACCTTCTATGTGTATAGTTATCACCTTCTGTATGTATAGTTATCACCTTCTATTTGTATAGTTATCACCTATATGTTTTGTCTACTCGAATCCTCGACGGATAATCTACTCCCGGTAGTCACTACTATTTTTTAACATTTTGCAGTTACGTATGATCTTTCGCAGGACTCTTGTATTGTAGACGTGCAAACATCGTTGCAGTTTGCAGGTTCACAGCACTACTAATAAACAAAACATTATGTCAAAAGATCATCCCAAAATTCATCGCGGCGTCTACTTACGACCTTGAACTTCGTGATTTAGGCCTAAATGAGAGTAGCTTCCCTTAGATCAAGTGGACAGTCGTTAGAAATCGGTGGCCTCTTGTCAAGCTATGTAATTTGTATGACACGAATTGAACACATGGCGTAGTTTATGAAGTCACATAGCCAACATGATCGACATGGCTCGATGAATCGATCGTTTCACGGGCTCCCGCGACCGCGATGCACGGTGCAAACACCGAGTTTGAAACTTGATTTTCCGTTGACGGCATATGTTTTCAGCTTAGGGATGTTTGTATATAAATGCTGTTGTGAACATGATTTTAGAATCGGCATCATCGTTTGTCATTAATAGAAGAAAGCTACGCACGTCATTGCCGGGTTGCACACGAACCTTGCGAGAACAGGCTGGCCGAATGATTGGTGGTACGAATGTTGTATTCGTACGCCAACCGTAGGCTTATACATGTTCCAGCAAAGCATTTTTTTTCAACGTTGAATTTCGATAATGATTAAGTGAGCCATAAATAAATTACGACACCCGTTCCGTTTTGCATTTCGAAACATATGAAACTTGCTTTCGCCTGTTAACTGGCTTAGTAACCCATATTTATCACATGCATGTGTGTTTTCGAAGTCATTATTTGTTCAGGGAACACTTCTGTCAACTTTTCTGGGAATATATGCTTGCCTCATAGCAATGGTCGTGTTTATTGTGTATAGTGTGTCCTACTGCGTCTCAGCAAATGATCTACTAAACCCTCGCGCGTGATGAATACAGAGGACGTTATTCAATGTGTGTGACATGAATATGGAATCTACCATAATCACTGTTTGTGTTTCCAGGCGTACATGCCCCCCATCAGTGACTACGTCCCCTCCATCAGATGACCGGACATCGGACATGCGACATTACCACGAGGATATCTACTCAAACATCCGTTAATTTGTTATAATAGCGTGTAATTGTGGCGCACTAGCGACAGAGCAGGAGGCTGCTGGCCAACTCAGTCTAGATCCATCACTTGGCGACAATTAGCCGACTGATAGTAACCCCTCAATATCTCTTGCACTACTTGTGTGTATCACTACTCTGTGAATGAAAGTGTCCCGTCACTCATTCTGTAGCTTGCCTCCGCCCCCGCACTTGCCGCCCCGCGCGTGCTCACTCATTCATTGGTTGGAGGAAGCACGCGAGCTCCGGTTTTTGTCATATTAATTGTTAAAGGCGAAATAAAGATGTTGAAATGACATAAAAATAAACACAGGCTTGAGTCAGAGCCAAGCGTTCACAGCTGACCGTTTTGTATATAAGGCGGGAGTGTAAAGGAGACAGCAGACAGTACGACTGACAAACAGACATGGATCTGATTCAAGTAATATGCGTGTTCCTACTAAGCCTGATCTGCACGTGCAGGGGGAGGGCGTGGCCGTTCACTGACCGGATCAACTTCGTGGGGCCGGACCCAGCCGAGGTGAGACTTGACATTCTTAAAATAAACTTCTAGAACCAATACTACTTTTCATCAAATAAAGTTGCTTTATAAAACCGATTTCAATACATAACGCTGTAAATATGTTTCTTCAGTAAATGTTGTCTGTGTGTCGCGCTTCATTATGAAAAGAAATATTCAGAATATGCCAACCCCCCTCTTTTGAAGTTGATGATATATTTCATATCTGCGTACATCCCACCTCTCCCCTCCTAGCTGTCCAAGTCAGGGCCTCGACGCTGTGTTCTTGTAAAGGATTTGTTTGGAATTAATTACCACAAACATTTTCGTCACCCTCACTCTTACTAAACCAACTATGCCAAGTGTGACTGATATTCTCGGTTGTCACGGTGTCACGCGGAAAGAGAGATGCTTCATCAACAGTCATTGACCCATGGCATGGGGCGACGCTGCGTATGCCTTCTGTGTCTGTGTGTCTACGGGTATCTTGGTATTGTGTTTTGGGACACAACCTTGCTTTGTCTTGAGCTGAAAATGGTTATGTATATTGTCTGTAGTCAAACGTACGAAAGTTGGTGGAAAGCTATTCAAGATGTGTGTTTTACCGCTCCCTGACGAAACCATCCCCAGAGGGGTATCTTAGCACACATCACAGAGGGATACGTCGGCATTACAAAGTCGCAATATATCCCAAATATATCATCATGTTTTAGTCGAGTTTTGTAGATTCTGTAAAGCCCACAACGTATGTTTTAGTCCAGTTTTGTAGTTTTTGTAAAGCCCACAACGTATGTTCAGTCCAGTTTTGTAGTTTTTGTAAAGCCCACATACGTATGTTTAGTCCAGTTTTGTAGTTTGTTAAAGCCCACAACGTATGTTTAGTCCAGTTTTGTAGTTTTTGTAAAGCCCACATACGTATGTTTAGTCCAGTTTTGTAGTTTTTGTAAAGCCCACATACGTATGTTTCAGTCCAGTTTTGTAGTTTTTGTAAATCACATATACGTATGTTTAAGTCCAGTTTTGTAGTTTATGTAAAGCCCACAACGTATGTTTAGTCCAGTATTGTAGTTTTTGTAAAGGCCACATACGTATGTTAAGTCCAGTTTTGTAGTTTTTGTAAAGCCCACAACGTATGTTTAGTCCAGTTTTGTAGTTTTTGTAAAGCCCACAACGTATGTTGAATCCAGTTTTGTAGTTTTTGTAAAGCCCACATACGTATGTTTAGTCCAGTTTTGTAGTTTTTGTAAAGCCCACATACGTATGTTTAGTCCAGTTTTGTAGTTTTTGTAAATCACATATACGTATGTTTAGTCCAGTTTTGTAGTTTTTGTAAAGCCCACAACGTATGTTTAGTCCAGTTTTGTAGTTTTTGTAAAGCCCACAACGTATGTTTAGTCCAGTTTTGTAGTTTTTGTAAAGCCCACAACGTATGTTTAGTCCAGTTTTGTAGTTTTTGTAAAGCCCACAACGTATGTTTAGTCCAGTTTTGTAGTTTTTGTAAAGCCCACAACGTTTGTTTTGTCCAGTTTTGTAGTTTTTGTAAAGCCCACATACGTATGTTTAGTCCAGTTTTGTAGTTTTTGTAAAGCCCACATACGTATGTTTAGTCCAGTTTTGTAGTTTTTGTAAATCACATATACGTATGTTTTAGTCCAGTATTGTAGATTCTGTAAAGCCCACACGTGTATGTTTTAGGGAGTAGATTCAGAAAGCAGCAAAGTGAAAATAGCGTTGAACAGTTTTCCCCTTCAAAGAGTCATGCCAAACATCAGTTATACATGTTCTATCGTTTAGATAGATTATATCAATCGGAGATGTTGTATTAGTTACACAAAACTTCGGAAACAAGTTACGCCTTTTATATGTAATGGCGTGTAAATCCCCGTGATTATTGCTTGTTTAGCAACGTGGTGGAGAACTCTGGATTCACAATGCTAATGCCTTCTCAAATATTCACTTTCAAACAGAAACAGTCACAGTATTGTTCCTATGCTCATGAAGCATGTGATGTAACCAGGGTTATAAATCCCCCTCCATGCGCAGGTTGCACATGACGTATGCCAACATGCAGCACCATCTGTCAATGGCGGGTCTGCCGTCACTGCAAAGCGCAAAGTCCAAGCGTCAACCTAGGATTTACTGCGACCCCCCTCCCTGCATACAAAGTGAGGCTATGTCGCCCCCCGCAACCACCCCCTTGCACACAAAGTCAATATTTGCCGCCCGCACCCTAGTTGAGGGATAACCAGGGTGTTTTACAAGGGGCCGATAAGACAAAGTCTGACGAAGTTATGCCGCCATTACATCAGGGCGGAACTATGAGATCTATCCGATCCTTGACGAAGACTTAGTGTCTATCCCTATACCCTGATTGCGGGACGGGATTATGAGATATATCCCGTTCTTCACGAAGTGTCTCTCATACCCTGATTGCGGGACGGGATTATGAGATATATCCCGTTCTTCACGAAGTGTCTCTCATACCCTGATTGCAGGACGGGATTATGAGATATATCCCATCTTTTACAGAGTACCGCTCCCTACTCTGATTGCGGGGCGGGATTATGAGATATATCCCATCTTTTACAGAGTATCTCTCCCTACTCTGATTGCGGGACGAGACTATGAGATATATCCCGTTCTTCACGAAGTGTCTCTCATACCCTGATTGCGGGACGGGATTATGAGATATATCCCGTCCTTCACTAAGTGTCTCTCCTACCCTGATTGCAGGACGGGATTATGAGATATATCCCGTTCTTCACGAAGTGTCTCTCCTACCCTGATTGCAGGACGGGATTATGAGATATATCCCATCTTATACAGAGTACCGCTCCCTACTCTGATTGCTGGACGTGATTATGAGATATATCCCATCTTTTACAGAGTATTCCTCCCTACTCTGATTGCGGGACGTGATTATGAGAGATATCCCATCTTTTACAGAGTACCGCTCCCTACTCTGATTGCAGGACGGGATTAGGAGATATATCCCATCTTTTACAGAGTATCTCTCCCTACCCTGATTGCTTGATGAGATTATGAGATATATCCCATCTTATACAGAGTACCGCTCCCTACTCTGATTGCTGGACGGGATTATGAGATATATCCCATCTTTTACAGAGTATATCTTCCTACCCTGATTGCTGGACGGGATTATGAGATATATCCCATCTTATACAGAGTACCGCTCCCTACCCTGATTGCGGGACGTGACCATGAGATATATCCCATCTTTCAAGAAGTGTCTCTCCTACCCTGATTGCAGGATGAGATTATTAGATATATCCCATCTTATACAGAGTACCGCTCCCTACTCTGACTGCGGGACGGGATTATGAGATATATCCCATCTTTTACAGAGTATCTCTCCCTACTCTGATTGCGGGACGAGACTATGAGATATATCCCGTTCTTCACGAAGTGTCTCTCATACCCTGATTGCGGGACGGGATTATGAGATATATCCCGTCCTTCACTAAGTGTCTCTCCTACCCTGATTGCAGGACGGGATTATGAGATATATCCCATCTTATACAGAGTACCGCTCCCTACCCTGATTGCAGGACGGGATTATGAGATATATCCCGTTCTTAATGAAGTGTCTCTCCTACCCTGATTGCAGGACGGGATTATGAGATATATCCCATCTTATACAGAGTACCGCTCCCTACCCTGATTGCTGGACGGGATTAGGAGATATATCCCATCTTATACAGAGTACCGCTCCCTACCCTGATTGCGGGACGTGACCATGAGATATATCCCATCTTTCAAGAAGTGTCTCTCCCTACTCTGATTGCGGGACGTGACCATGAGATATATCCCATCTTTCAAGAAGTGTCTCTCCCTGCCCTGATTGCAGGACGGGATAATTGGACAGGAGCCGGGCCTGGGACACCAGACGCAGCTCGATAGTAAATACTTCTTCCGCTCGCCCCGGAAGTGTCCCATTCGCCATATTGTGACCACCCTCTCCTCCCACAAGCCTTGCCCACTCAACACACCACTTGACACGGCGTAATACCGAGTGTGTACATTTAGCAACATATCGGACGGAAAATATTTCATTTCATTTCCGAATACTTGTTGATTCTTACACACCACCTTGTCCGCCCATAGTGCGAAAAATACAACTACCGCATGTGTCAGAGAGTGCACCATGCGTCGTCCTCGTAGTGGGCTCCTTACAGCTTACCTGGGCTTGCTGCATCTGCTACAGGCAGGACGCCATGTTTACTGCTACATCTGCTACAGGCAGGACGCCATGATTACTGCTGCAGTTTCTACAGGCAGGACGCCATGATTACTGCTGCAGTTTCTACAGGCAGGACGCCATGTTTACTGCTGCAGTTTCTACAGGCAGGACGCCATGTTTGCTGCATCTGCTACAGGCAGGACGCCATGTTTGCTGCATCTGCTACATGCAGGATGCCATGTTTACTGCATCTGCTACAGACAGGACGTCATGTTTGCTGCATCTGCTACAGGCAGGACGCCATGTTTGCTGCATCTGCTACAGGCAGGACGCCATGTTTTACTGCTATAGTTTCTACAGGCAGGACGCCATGTTTGCTGCATCTGCTACAGACAGGACGCCATGTTTGCTGCATCTGCTACAGGCAGGACGCCATGTTTGCTGCATCTGCTACAGGCAGGACGCCATGTTTGCTGCATCTGCTACAGGCAGGCCGCCATGTTTTACTGCTATAGTTTCTACAGGCAGGACGCCATGTTTGCTGCATCTGCTACATGCAGGATGCCATGTTTACTGCATCTGCTACAGACAGGACGTCATGTTTGCTGCATCTGCTACAGGCAGGACGCCATGTTTGCTGCATCTGCTACAGGCAGGACGCCATGTTTTACTGCTATAGTTTCTACAGGCAGGACGCCATGTTTGCTGCATCTGCTACAGACAGGACGCCATGTTTGCTGCATCTGCTACAGGCAGGACGCCATGTTTGCTGCATCTGCTACAGGCAGGACGCCATGTTTGCTGCATCTGCTACAGGCAG